AAATAACCATATATCATTTCACATACTTTAAAAAAAAAAGTATATACCCAGCTAACAAGGAACGTTCTCAGAACGTTCTGGCAAGGTTCTCTAGTTCTTCCAGTAACATTAACATTTTTTAAAAGTTATTTGATCTTTAATAATGCTCTCAAAACATCATTTACATTGTTCATGGAATGTTTTTTCTGAAACATTTTAGTTTCGTCTAACATTCTAATGTTCGTCTAACATTCTTTTTTTAATGTTGCTACTAGTTTCAGAATGTACCGAGAAAATTCAAAAGTAACGTTCTCATAATGTTTGCAAAAGGATCAAATGGAATGTCTTGGACATTTTGAATGTTCCAAAAACAACATTTTCATAGCTTAACGTTTTCATATTGGCCCCTAAGAATGTTTGCAAAAGGTTCTTAGGGGCCATTCACACAGAACTCATCTTCGCATCTAAAAATGAGAGAAGGAATAAAAAAAAAATGCAGTGCAGAATGCCGCCTCCGCCATGTTGCCGTCAAATAAAACAGTTGCCATGCCAACTTGCTACTGTAAACAAAAGCTCACGACGCTTGCCCCGCCTCCGGGGTCTTCTGATTGGTCTATTGTTTTGGAACTGACATTTATAAGTGGCGCTGCGTGTAAAAGTTAAAATTCTTTTAACTTGACACGGTGTCTTAAAAACGTGGCGCGGCTTCTTAAAACATATAATGTTAGTTGGAGTACTGTGCAGTAGGCAGAAATTAGTATGCTAGTATTACATTAGCTATGTTTGGAATGGAATTCTAGAGTATTGCATATTGCAGTAACGTACTATGCACAGTTTGCATACTGTTGAAATAGCATGAGTAGTATGGAAGTGCGTTTTTCTGCCCACAAGCAACATCTCTAATCTCATTGGTTGTTCTGCTTTCTTGTCCCACCCCAGAGTGCACGTGGATGGTCCGTTTGGCAGCCCGTCAGAGGAGGTGTTTAATTATGAGGTCAGCCTGTGTGTGGCGGGAGGGATCGGAGTCACGCCATTCGCTTGTGTTCTACAGGCGCTCTTGTGAGTGAGACAACCTGTCAGTCACCTTAACTGTAACATTAGATCATTCTTAAACACTTTGGCTGTGTACTAAATGGAACACTAGTGTACTGCAAACTGCACAGTACACACTGTATACTGCATACTGCATTCCTCTAGTTCAACTGGTGGCTATGGTTAATAGATCATCCCAGGACCTATGGGTACTGAAAAGACTATGCACTTTATACATACTATGTACTAAAAACAGTAAAAGTAAGATATTACGAATATATTCATGTAAATCTCTCCAATGTTTTTAACATATGCGTACTGTATTCAAACAGTGTAAATCCTCAGTACAGTGTCTAAAGGTGTTGTTGTGTGTGTTGCAGTGATGACTGGCGTCAGTATAAGTTGAGGAGGCTGTATTTTGTTTGGGTCTGCAGGGACCTTCAGTCTTTCTATTGGTTTGCTGATCTATTGTGTGGCCTTCATGAGAGGGTAAAACACACACACACACACACACAGAGCTGGGTAGTAACTGATTACTAAGTTGATCATTTAGAGGCCTTTAATGTATCAATTATGATACAGTAGACTTTATAGTGTTAAAAATGCATGACCGTCTTAGAAAAACACTATATTCAAAATATAGACACTTTATGCAGTATGCATGAAAGTTTCAAAAGGCTATACCGCCACCTACTGGCTCTGATGTTATGCATATGTTAATGTCTAATGTGAAAAATCTAACAGTTATTGTCCTCTCTCTGTAGCTGTGGCGGGACAATCGTCCAGATTATTTTAATGTTCAGCTCTACCTCAGTAACACTCAGGGATTACAGGTGTGCACTTTATTCTCATTTTATTACTACTTATTTAATATTAATTTATAACTTGAGTTTTGTAGATGCAAGCTTTGCTCTTTTGTTTTCAGAAAATGTAGACATCTAGTTCATTATTTTACATGAAAATATGCATATATCAGTTGTCATACTGAAGTAATTTCTTTCATTGTGTGTTTTGAAGAGCATCAGTGAGGAACGCTACCGTTTCTTGAGCTCCAGGCTTCGGATTGGTCGACCAAAATGGAAACTCCTTTTCCAGGAAATAGGGAGAGCCAATCAGCTGTGAGTATGATGAATTTATCCATTACTGGCTGAAATAATGTAGTTATGCAGGCCACTTTAATGATTGCAGTAATCAAAAATGATGATGTGTGTGTTTGTCCTGCAGTAAAAGAGTGGGGGTTTTCTGCTGTGGACCCAAAGGGATCTCTAAAGCGTTACACACTCTGTGCAATTCAAACCCACACACAGGAACTGCATTTGAGTACAACAAAGAGTCCTTCAGCTGAGGGACGCAAACAAACCCATCGTTTAATGCCAAATAAAAAGCCATTAGAGTCTGTTTCTGTCACTGAGGAATGAAGATAAGAGAGGACAAATGTAGATGAAGATGTCTGGAATTCATGCACAGCATCCTTATCTAAAAATGAATCCTCAGACGAAGGGACGGAAAGCCGGTAAACAGTGTAATGAGATGGAAAACTTGCACAGTTGCATTCAGGGAATATTTGTGATTCTGCATGTAGAGTTTGTCTACATGAACCCTTGATAGACCCTTACAGGAACAGCTCACCCAAAAATTTTAATTTGCTGAAAATGTCTTCACCCTCAGGCCATCCAAGATGTAGATGCTCAGCAATGGATCCTCTGCAGTGAATGGGTGCCGTCAGAATGACAATAATCACAATAATCCACAAGTAATCCACAGCACTCCAGTCCATCAATTAACATCTGGAGAAGCCAAAAGCTGTGTGTTTGTAAAAAAAAAAAACATTAAGACGTTTTTAACTTAAAACTGTTTCTTATGGCCAAAATACAAGTCCAATACAATACAAGTTTGTTGGAAGCAACTGTTTGAAGTTAAAACGTCTCAATGCTGGATTTGTTTCAGCTTTTGTCTTCTCCAGATGTTAACTGATGGACTGGAGAGGTGTGGATTATTGTGATGTTTTTATCTGCTGTTTGGACTCTCATTCTGACGGCACCCATTCACTGCAGAGCATCCATTGCTGAACAAGTCATGCAATGCTACATTTCTCCAAATCTGATGAAGAAACAAACTCATCCTAATCTTGGATGGCCTGAGGGCGAGGATATTTTCAGCAAATTTTCATTTTTGGGTGAATTATTCCTATATAAACTGGGTTAAAAACCACTAGATCACCCAAAAAAATGAAAATTCTGACATCATTTACTCACCCTCATGTCATTTCACATGTTGTCTTGGCTATTAATAGCATGTTTTGGTTTATTTTATACCTTTACAAACACAAATGTACATGCAAACCATATTTAAAGTATATGTTTTTGTTTCTTTTTAAATATTTATTTCTTTTGTGTTATGTAGAGCATGTTGCATTATTGTTCATATTTTATTAGGACAGAATATGCTCATGTCAGTGTCCTAAATGAACCGCACTGTTATTGTATCACCACTGCTAAAGATTTCATTTAATCACTGATTTATCATATCAATCTTTTTAATATTACTTTGTATGCGTATTATATATAAACACACAATACGTAAGTGCCACAGTGATGATACAAGCACCATAAATATCACTGGTTGACTAGAGACCTTAGTTGTGTTCAGAAAACTAGCTTACTGTACTGTGTACTATTTATTCATTATCATGCCAAACAGAATGCATTATGCAACAATAAGCATGTCAAACAATAGTATGCAACAGTAATGTCATATGACCTCACTATGTTACTTTATTAATTGTCTTGGAAATGAAAATTGTTATTTTGCATTTGAAATTAAGTAAATTTTAAAAGCAAAAAACCTAACTTCAGTCAGATTGCATGAGGAGATGTTAAGATTTGGGGTTTATTCATCGCACCGGAAATTGAAAGTCCAGTCAGGTGCATTGCATTATGTGATTCAGCATTTTAATCAGTATATTTTTATTGTATACTGCACTTTTTGACTAATGTGTAGTATGTACACTAGCAGTCAAAAGTTTGGGGGTCAGTAAGACTTTTAAAAATGTTTTTGAAAGACGTTTCTTCTGCTCACCAAAGCTGCATTTGTTTGATTAAAAATATAGTAAAATCAGTAATATTGTGAAATATTTTTACAATTTCAAATAACTGCTTTTTATTTTAATGTATTATAAAATATTATTTATTCCTGTGATCAAAGCTGTATTTTCAGCATCATTACTCCAGTCTTCAGTGTCACATGATCTTCAGAAATCATTCTAATATGCTGATTAGCTAATAATTCAATCTTTAACATGTAAAATTGAAATAAATAATCTTAAAATAAAATAATCAAAATAAACCATTAAAAAATATGATACATGACAAAATAATTGTATATAATTTTATTATTAATGCAGGGTTTTCCAAACTAGGATTCACAAATCCCTGCTGATTTGTGAGTTTATGAAAAGCTGATAATAAATGAAATCATACAAATGTTAAATTAAAATAAACAAATAAATAATCTTAAATATTTATTTATTTATTATTATTATTATTATTATTAATGCAGGGCTTCCCAAACTAGGATTTGCTAATCTCTGCAAATTTGTAAACTGATGAAAAGGCAATAATTAATTAAAAATGTATTAATTAATTACTGAAAAAAAGACTAAATATAAAAAAAAATACCAAAAAAAAAGACTGCATGTCATTTGACCATTAACAGGTATCAGAGAACCATGCAAAATATGTAGTTAAATTACTGAAATAGTAAATAAAAATCTTAGGGGCACTTCAAGTAAACATTTTAGGTCAAATGTGTTCAGCTGAAAAGTTTCAGAATCCCTGTGTAAATGCATATAATATTGCATGATTTGATGGTGTCAATCATGACTATTGCACATTTGTACGGATGAATTATGCAGTTATTATGCAATTAAACCACATGTTTAGTGGTTTGCATGTTTGTTCAAATGATTGTTACGAGTTTGTACATGCATTTCACCTGTCGATAAAGGCATGATGTAGAAGGAAAATGGGGTCGTTGGCGGATCCCTGCACTGAAGACATGGATCCGTTCATGTAGACGTGTAAGGAGTTGTGCATCAAGCTCTGACCCGTTACTGCCAACCCCGTCTCAGGACTCGCAAAACCTGAGAAAACGGTGAGACACGTTCAGTGTTTAGAACCTGATGTGTTAAGGAAGTGTAAAATTAAAGCAATAAGCCCCAAGAAGCCGTGGTTTACAGTGAATTTATAACTGCTAAGGGGAGTTGTTAGATACGATGCGAAGCGGAGTGCCTAAAACCCCTTAGCTGTTATAAATTCACTGTAAACCACGGCTTCACGGTGCTTATTGCTTTTAGAAAACGGTTATTCCATATATGTAGAGCATATAAAGTGTAATGATATTAATAAAAACAGTATTCTTCCACCAAACAATGTAGTTCCTCAGAAACAGTTGTGGTTGCCAAGCAACACACAAAGTAAACAAAGGTGTATGTTTGTAACAGCTTAGAACGTGGCTCAGCCAATCAGAATCAAGGACCGGAACTATCTGTTTTATAATCTCTTTTTCTCCCTCTAAATGCGCTGTTGCTTTACCTTCCAGAGCGTTCCTGAAGCTCATGTTGGCGCGTCTGTCCATCAGGCCCGTCTCGTACTCTGTTAGGCTCAGCACTGACTCCACGTCTGCGGAGGTGGGCAGCCGCGGGACACGCTTTGGGTCATGGTTACCTGGATTACGCAGTAACGGTCCCTCTGGAGACCCGTCACACAAAACCTCACGCTGGTTGTAGTCTTCGGGTTGTGAACAGATCACCTGCACAGGTATACGGACACTTATTAAAACACCAACAGACAGTGCAACATAAAACAAAACAGATCCAGCCAATAAGGGTTCAGTATGTGAAGCAACCTGTCAAGAACACTTTTGGGTCATATTTCACCCTAAAATTGGAGGAAATAACCTAATAACCATACATTTCTGTTCAAAAGTTTGGGGTCAATACGATTTTTTTGGAATAAATTAATACTTTTATTCAGCAAGGACGCATTAAATTGATCAAAAGTGACATCAAAGACAATTTCACAAAAGATTTTGATTTCAAATAAATGCTGTTCTTTTGAACTTTCTGTTCATCAAAGAAACCTAAAAAATAAAATGTATCGTAGTTTCTACAAAAATATGAAGCAGCACAACTGTTTTCAACATTGATAATAACCATAAATGTTTCTTGAGCAGCAAATCAGCATATTAGAATGATTTCTGAAGATCATGTGACACTGAAGACTGGAGTAATAAATAAAATTAGATGATAATAATAAAATAAAATAATAAAATTAGATAATAAAATTAGATAATTAGATAGCAATAAATTATTTATAATAAATAAAATTACATTTTAAAATATATTCACATAGAAAATTGTTATTTTATGTAATAATATTGCACAATATTACAGTTTTTATTGTATTTTTGATCAAGTAAATGCAGCCTTGGTGAGCATAAAACAAAATTAACAAATCTTACCAACCCCAAACTTTTGAATGTTAGTGTATTTATTTTATTTAATTATTTAAATGTTTTAAATATTACACAATTAAAATAAGTATTATAATGAAATCATTACTTAGTAAATAAAAACATGAAACCTATTTTTTTTTTCATTGTGAAATTATGACAATTTAGATCAGACCACCACATACTCTTTTGCTGTTACAAAAATGGAAAAAAATCACTCTTATTCTAAAAGCATGGAGTTATGAAGGTGTTTTGAAAGCCCGTGCATTTTTTTCATGGATTAAGCCTATCTATCTCTAATGACTAATTCAGCTCATTTCTCGTATGTTAATTGGATGTCATTTCACCTCCCTGCTGCTCTTAAGAGATGAAAGAACGCCTACGCCAGCAGCAGATGATGAGGAGAGAGAGAGAGAGAGAGAGAGATGGAGCAAAAGAAAATGACAAATCAAAACTCAATTTTAGCCTTTCTGAAGAAAGGTGTCACTGCTATTCAGTTTCTAAGGTGTTCTTTACTTACTGGATAAAGTCAAAAGTCTCTGTCTGTAGATATGACTTCAATCCTTCCTTTTAAAGTCTATCAGATGTTTTCAAATTTTAATACTAAAGGATAAGAGTTTCACATGTTTCTGTGCTTATGTATATCTCATACCACAGCAGCTTTGCCTTTTTTACAGAGCAGGGTTATTATAGTTAACTGAAACTAAAACTGTACAAATTTTAAATATAACTGAACTAACTGCAATAAAATAAACATTTGATTTCAGCTAGTTGCCAATGACACATTTCTAATATTCAGTTAGTTTAACTTGATGTACTAAAATAATTAAAAATAAAAATAAAACTTAAAAAAAGTAAAGTAAAAATTATAAGTAAAATATATATAAAAGTAAAACTAATTTGAAGTTTTAATAAAAACTATTTTAAATTGTAAAAAATATTTTGCAATATTACTGTTTTTAAATAAATGTTAATTGAAATAAAATAAAATATAAAAAACTTAAACTTATTTTATTTCAGCTAGTTGCCAATGAAACATTTTATAATTTTCATTTAGTTTGTCTTTATGTACTAAAATAACTAAAAAATAAAACAGAAATAAAAATGATTACTATAGATTATATATATAATACTACATATTTAAAAAAAAAAAGATAAAATTACTAAAAAGGTAACAAAAATTTAAATGAAAAAAAAAAAACTGCTTCAAAATAGTAATAAATACTATACTAGAAACTACTAAAGCAACACTGAGCCAAAGTCTGTCTGTGTTGTTGCTCGGTGAAGCCGCTTTGGTTAATTCCCCTGCGGCTCTTGTAGAGGGTCAGTGCTGAAGTTAATAGGGGTTTTAGGGGCCAGACACACTCGTGACTCACTGCAGCCCAACTTCACTGCATGTCTCGAGGTCACGTCACACAATCACGCCTTTATAAACACATCGTCCTCAGACGCCGAGCTAGATAGATCACCATGATAGATGGATCAATTAAACTGACATTTGACAACTTATAGGACCAAATCTCAGTCACGTGGCTAAAACAAATATGACTAATGAGTCACATGGCCACAATGGGAATTTACATGTAGCTTATACCTCCATGTGTTTAGTTCCCATAGACCTGCACTGAAAAATGTGAAGACTAAGAAAAAACTGTTTATACAGAATTTAGCTTAAATACATAAATAAATGAAAGAAAGTTGTTTGATATCCTATATGCAAAAGTCTTTTAAATGTATTTTCTTTTTATTTAAGCTACTTAAAAAAACAACAACTGACATGTACACCTATTACAATGCTTAATTAATTAACTTATTTATGTATTTCCTCTCCAATACTGTCCATAATTTCTTCCACACAGCAATTATATTTCCTATAATACAATTTTAGTTTAATTTGAATTACTAGAAGGATAAGTTGAACAAAAACATACTTTATTCTTGAAAAATCATGTAAAATGAAAATATAAATCTGAATGCCTTTACTTAACTGAAAATAGTTTATTAATTAATATTGACTCTTTTTTTTTTTTTGAAGTAACAATGTGTGAATGATTCTTTCAGGTTTATTGCCATTTTATCTCTCTTGTAATAGTGTTTCGGCATTTTAATTTTTAATAAAACTAATTAACTAACTGAAATAATATGAAAAAAACTAAATCTTATTTTATTTCAGCTAGTTGCAAAGGAAACATTTCTAATTTCCGTTTAGTTAAGTAAAATTGCTCAAATTAAATAAACTAAAAATTACTTTTTTTGTCTTTTTTCCCACTTAAATTCTGAAGTGACATTAAAAAATATTATTATTATTATTTATTATTATTAATAATAATAATAACTATTATTATTATTATTAAAAAATAATATTACAGGCTATTATCTTGCCCAAGAGCTACTACAAAAATATGATGATATTGGGATTTTAGTTTGGTTTTGTGTGTCTGCAAGACAAAACGAGTATTTAATTGGACTTTTGACTTCAAGTTGTAAAATAGCATTTCCTGAAATGCAATTTTAAATGCAAAGAACATTAATGTAAAAGGAATTTCTAATGTTTTCATATTTACCTTCCAGGAGGAGAACACCGAGGACGGGCTGATCAGGTTGGGGTTGAGAGGACTGCGTGCCCCCATCAGCTCATCCGTGCACACCTGACAGTCCTGCGCATCACGCCAGTCCCAGTATGGGATGGTGAAGTTAAAGTCACCGGTCAGCTTCCGGATCTCATGCTCCCAGAACAGCAGGTAAACGCGATGCCAGGGCAGAAACGCGGCCGATTCGTGTGCAAAGTCAATGTCGGCCCACACATTCCCGGGACCCCCGAGCAGCGCATCTCGGGACACGTAATAGTGCATCCAGATGAACAGATCGTACACGCTGATGTTGGCAAACATGGGCGTCGAGCCGTTGTTCATCTGTGAGTACACACCCGTCACAATCATATAATCGGGGCTGATTGTAGTTTTGGCGAGATTGAGGTACGAGATGAACCTCTGCCTTTCAGAGACGGATAATTGGAAGATGTTTTTGCGCACAGATTCCCGTCGTTCCCCACAATTGGCGCCGAAGTAACCGAACTTGCACTCGCCACAGTTGAACCCCATGTAGTTGCCGGCGCACTGGCAGCTTTGGTTGTAAAATACCAGAGGCCATTGCTCGCGGTTGTCCAGGCCTGAATGCGGGTACTGCGGCCCGTTGGGAAGGTCGGCGACCGTGACGTCCTGGCAGAAGCCTCGACCCGAAAGGGAGCCGCACACCGAACCGTCGCCCGGCCAAACTGGACAGCAGCGCTTGCTCTGCAGGACGTCCGGCGAGGTGCACGGCCGAGGAAACTGCTGGAGAGACGGACTCAAGAACTGAATGAAGAACAGAAGCAGAGAGAGAGACATGACGAGAGTGAGACGCATTCGACATGGAAGAGTTAGGAAAACGTCAGCTCGCTTTCTCTTTACACTGCTTTGCGTCCCTCCTTTTCCACACACACACACACACACACATACCCTCGTATCACATGCTAGGGATGAAATCGGTGACCCCCGCTTGTGTTTGGTCTCGGGACTCTGAGGAATGCTTGTGCTCGAGTCGAGCGTGAGATCATTTCATTTACAGTTTGGGAAGGAACTCCTTTCATCTGAAAACAGGCATTTTAACCCAATAACCAGCAAAGTCAACACAGTTAATAATGGTTTACAGATTGTTTTGCAACCTGCTGGTGTATCATAGAGACGAGAATTGTGGTCAGCTTGTTTTATGCATTAAATGCATGCAAGTTTGAATGCATATTTGATTTCTCTTCTCGTGTATTGCATATGCGCTACTGTTCAAAAGTTTGGGGTCAGAATGATTTTCTGAACGTTTCTGAAAGAAGTCTCTCATGCTCAACAAGGCTACATTTATTTGATCAAAAATACAGTAAAAACTGTAAAATTGTGAAATATTATTACAATTTCAAATAAATATTTTCTATTTGAATATCTTTTAAAATGTAATTTATTTCTGTGATCAAAGCTGAATTTTCAGCATCATTACTCCAGTCTTCAGTGTCACATGATCTTCAGAAATCATTCTAATATGCTGATTTGCTGCTCAAGAAACATTTCTGATTATTATCAATGTTGAAAATAGTTGTGCTGTTTCAAGCTTTTGTGGAAACGGTGATAGATTTTATTTTTCAGGATAAACAGAAAGTTCAAAAGAACAGCATTATTTGAAAATAAAAATCTTTTTGTAACATTATAAATGTCTTTACTGTCACTTTTGATCAATTTAATGCATCCTTGATGAATAAAAGTATTAATTTCTTTGAAACAGAAACAGACCCCAAACTTTTGAACAGTAATGTATTAGTGACAACAACAATGAAAAGTTGGCAATTTTTTATTATTCTAATTTTTTCTGTTCTATAGTCCTGCAAATTTGTCAAATCACATCCATATTTAGTCCTTTATGCTAAAGCACATGTATTTGATGATAATGATGTACCATGTTTTTGGATTTTATTAGACACTTTTATGAGCAACTTACACAATGAATTAAATTTACTTTCATAATGCACTTCTGAAAATTTTCCAAAAGTGTTTTTTATAGAGAATAATAATCTCTAAGAGTTTAATAATGGTTTATTTGCATTGAACCTCAAACTACTCCAAGAATACCATGGTACATGTCCAAAATTTGGGGTTATCATGGTATATTTTCTAAACAAGCATGGTACTTTTGATGCTCTTATTGTTAATGAAGTGTACTCTATATGTGTGTCATATGTTTTATCATGTGCCGTTTGGTGAAGCTGAACGTATAATGCTCTTAGCTTTCTCGAATCATAAGCTCGTCACATGTTACTGTAGTGAGCACGAGGTCCAGATAATCCAGACCTTTTATCTTTTGTGATCAGCAATGGCATGAACGTCACAGGATATTCGGGACAATACGGTATTTCTAATTATGGCAGGATTGGCATTTCATATCCCACGACCATCTGTGGGAGTTCCTGTGTTTGACCTCTGTATGGTGATTTAGTCTGTATGGATGAGACCAGTTCAGTTGGTTAAATGCAACACGGGTGGGTTAAATTCTACATGGTGGAAATCACAGGTTATGAAAGGCTTTAACTAAAGGTGCCAGTTGTCAGTTTTTAATGTTTATGCAGTGCAGTGTTTTTTTTTTTTTTTTAAGAAATGAATACTTTTATTCAGGTAGGATGCATTAAATTGATCAAAAGAGACAATAAAGACATTTATAAAGCAAAAGATTTATTTGTCAAATAAATGCTGTTATTTTGAACTTTTGATTCATCAAATAATAATGAAAAATAAAATATATCACTTTCCACGAAAATATGAAGCAGCACAACTGTTTTCAACATTGATAATAATTAGAAATGTTTCTCGAGCAGCAAATCAGCATATTAGAATGATTTCTGAAGATCATGTGACACTGAAGACTGGAGTAATGATGCTGAAAATACAGCTTTGATCACAGGAATAAATTACATTTTACAATATATTCAGATAGAAAACATATATTTCAAAATATACAGAATTACACAATTACAGTTTTTACTGTGTTTTTGCAGCTCTGGTGAGCATGAGACTTTCAAAAACATTAAAAATATTACCAACCCCAAACTTTTGAACAGTAGAGTGCTTTCTCATTTAACTACTTTTATTAATATTAATATTTCAATAATACTAATGATATTAAATATTAATAATAAACTAAATAGTATCTCAATGATACTAAAATACCACTGACTGGGAATATTTGAGATTTTATTAGAAGTTGAAACCGTTAATAGCAAATGCCTAAAAAGCTACACTGAAACGTTTGAACAGTAGTGTATTTTCCTATTGAAGTTTTATTTCTGTATAGACCTTAATTAGCTGGTTAAATTAACACCGTTTTGAACAAGATGTTAGAAAACTGCATTTTATGCCATTGGAGGATTGACTCATAACCGTACAGCTGCTGCCCTGAAAGCCGGAAAACAAATAATAAAAACTAAATCTGAGTGATTCGACAGAACTGCATGTGGCTGCAAATGGAGAAACGGTTCCTCTCATGTCCCTATAACCATCACTTATTGGTAGCAGCTTTTCAGATGCAGGAATCTTTCTATATCATCTGTGTTTCTATGGCAACAGAGATTATGTCGATGTCATTTTGAGACGCCATTGAGTAATTGATTTACTGTCATTTTTATGGGTTTTGTCATATTTGTAGAAAGATAATCTCTCTCGGCACACGCCGCCCACTCACAACATCACCGCTGGCCTTCAGTTCACAAGCACACTGAGGTTCAGTCTGTTCCTACTTCTGCAATCTGATATATTTGTGAATATAAGTGAAACCGGACAGACAATAGTAACAGATGCAGGCAATTGATTTCATCCATCAGGAATTGGTTGAACTGTGATAATCTGCTGTTTCAATAACAGAATGGAGTTGGAGGGGAGGGATTACAGAATAAGAGGGATTTGTGACGTCATCTGAAAACATTTTTGCTCTCTTTTGTGATTTGCCTTGTGAAGTTCACCTAGCACAGTTGTGTGTGTGTGTGTGTGTATTCATTTTAATTTTAGTTTTAGTAATTTTGTAATGTGCTTTTGTAATTTAGTTGTTTAAATATTTATATTTAGCTTTGATTTATTTTTATTTTACTTCAAATTTTAGTAGTTTTAGTGCTAATTTAGACTTTTTTAATACTAATTTTGTATACATTTTTGCTTAAATTTAGGTTTTTCATTTAATATTTGTTTATATATTTTATATATTTAAATAACAAAAATTTTGTTTTTTTTTAAATGTTTTAATAGTGTTACTTTTAGTTAACAATAACAATACTGATTATAATGTTTGTTTTAGTAAACTTATATAAATTATTTTGTCATTTTTATTAGGTTTTGCTTTTTTAAAAATATTTTGATTTAGCATTTTTATTTCAGTTTTAGTAATTTTAGTAACTTATTTTTAACTTATTTTTAACTGCCAAGGCAACAATTCAAATTTTTTTTCAAAAATCATTTTTAATAGTGATAGTTTTATTAACAATAACAATACAAATTTTTTATATTTTATATAATATATAAATGTAATATTTTATAATGAATGAATGATGCATTTATATAGCGCTTTATTGTGTATTGTTGTACACCCAAAGCGCTTTACAATCATGAGGGGGTCTCAAACTTTTATCATTTTTATTAGTTTTTGCTTTTTGTAATAATTCTATTTAACTTTAATTTATCTTCATTTCAGTTTAGTTTTGCTTTTCAATATTGTTAATCTTAGTTAACCTTTAACAATACTGATTATGATATATTTGTGATATATAAATATGTAATGAAATTATAAAATTGTCATGTTTTGTCAGTGTACCATCTCATAACGTCCCAATATTCAGATTAGTAGTCAAACAACATGTTTTTCATGGTTGAAAAACCATGTTTTAGTAATTTTAGTTTATTATTTAGCGTATGTTTCCTTTAAGTTTTTCATCTAATGTTTATTTATCATTTTGTTTCAGCTTTATTTCAATGAACAAAAAACACAATTAATAATGTTAGTTTTAGTTAACAATAACAATACTGATTATAATGTATATGTGTGATATATAAATATATAATGAAGTGATAACAATACTTGTCATGCTCTGTCAGTGTACCATCAGTATTCAAATGAATAGTTAACAAACATTTTTCATTGGTTCATTCCTAAATTGTTACTTTTGGCTCCTCCTTGTCCTGAATAAAGCCACTGTCGCCATGGTTACTTCAGAACGCTACTATATTTAGTGGCAAGTTTGAGTTTGAGAATTTGCCATTGAAAAGTAAAAAGAATATTTGCTTTTAAAGAAATAATATGTACTTTTTAGTGGGTGTCAAGCCTTAATTATGGGTTTCAGACCCTCCTTAAAGCCTCTGTGATTCACAGCCAGTGTGCGCTGTGAGAACAGCCTTTAATGTGACTCCATGAAGCTGCACAGCAGACTGTGAGTCACTCTCACACCAGTTTGAGCGGCTCTTCCCACGCACACGTCCAGCTTCTGAGTGTGTGTGTTTAAGAGTAATTCAGGAAGCTGGCATGTCCTTTATGAATGATTTCTGTTTAAATTACAAGTGTGTGTGTGTGTGTGTGGGTTTGGTCTCTTTTGAACTTTGAATGTTGTACTGTTTTGGAGTTTGCTTGACTTAATGTGTGTGTGTTTGTGTGTATTCTTGCATGTGCATGAGGACTCAATTACACACTTGAGCCTCTGATTACTCGTTATTACGCCTTCAAGAGCGGTTGGGAGGGGTTGCCATAGTAACCTGACCCCAGAAGCCATTGAACAATTACTCTTGTACTTTCTAAGACGCGTTTAGGAAGCTTTCCAGCATCTGAGTGTAATTTATTACAAGCCTACACTCTGCGGTCTCAATCATGCTAATTCTGTAATTAACAAGCATAATGCTATTA